AGCCTCTGGGGCGTGTGGGAAACCAGGAAACTTTCCAGGGGATGAAGAAAGCACATACTAAAGCTTTTATTTTTTCTTAATGCATATGGAGACTCTTTAATGGGCTGAGCATGCAATCAAGAAAGACTAAAATTGAATAAATAGAAAAAGACACTTACCACAAATGACAATCTTTATGATAATCTTCTGATTAAGCTATTTTGCCATTAACATATATTGCAAAATTCTTACAAGTCTTCAGAAAGCCACTGCCTTCTCACCTCTTTTAACCTCATCAGATTTTGACGTGGCCCCTAGAGATTCGTGATTCCAGAGGAAGCTTGAGCCCTTCGATTGCTTCCAGAAATGTCGTGCCCTGTGAGAATGTGTGCTCGCCTTTGCTGGGCCTTGGTTTCTTTATCTGGAATGTATGGCTCCATTTGTCTCCTCCCTTGTCAGAGTTGTGTGAGGCTGGACATTCTGAACTTCTGGGAGAGAAGCGGGTTTCTGTGTGTTTTCTGGAATCCACCAGCCGCCGCCTTTCTGTGCAGTAGATGCCCGAGAACCTTCCAGAGCTCTGAGTTTCTCTGCAACCCGAAGCAGTGGGTCCCTCTGACTGCAGGGGGCTGCCATCACTGCGGAAGTGAGCCGGACATTTCCTTGTGCAGGGCAGGCCGGCTCAGAAGAGGAAGGTGGCGGTGGGGAGGTGGGGAGGGAGAGGTTCCCCCTCCACCCCTCCGCAGGAACACTCTGCCCCCAGTGGGAAATGGAGCCTGCAGCCCCCCTGCTTCCCACACTTTTTGTCCCACTTTCTCCAGGGGCCCTGGGCACAGGCTGAAGGCTTGACTGAGACGATGAATTGTGCGGATTCTAGGTAGGCAGGGGCTAGAGACAGGCTGTTGCTTGCTTCCCTCCTCTCCCGGGCCCTCCCCTCCCCCTGCTGCCAGTGACAAGGGGCGGGAGAGAGCCTTGGGGAAAGAGAGAAACTCGCCAGAGAGGTAATAAGCCCAACGTGCACCACGAGGTGTTTAGTCTCTAACCCTGTGGTCCTCAAACTTTAATGTCCCTAAAATAATTTTGAGAACCTATGTACACCCCTTGCACAATTCAAGTGGCCAGCTAAATCTTCAACATATTTTTAAATAGTTGTCAATGATGCCATTTCTGGAATATTGTAAATATTGACATTACAAAAAGCCATCACTCTTTTAATGTATCTAATGAACTTTAAATACCAGAGCAATTTGATACATCATCTATTAAACACATGAACAAGTTCTTAAGCAGTTTTATAGTCCTCTCCTTCTGGAATTCTTATTTTCATTCCAGTTGCCCTATCAAATTTTATCCTTACTATTATATCTTTATGCATGAAAGCCTTTTTATTGGCCATTCTATCATAATTTGGTGTGACAAAAATATGTATGAAGATTTAAATTTAATTTTTAATGTCCAATGACCATAAGTTTCTAGATGTTAAGAATTTTTGGATTGAGGTATCATTATAATTATTAGTAATACACAGAACCAGGTAGTAGATAAAAATAATGTACATACAGCATAAGTTTCAATGAAAAGAAAAGATAGAAGATATGATACATTTTGGAAATGCACCTCATATTTTTCAATTAGTTCATGTGTTCATTAATGAATATTATTTATTGTCAAAGTAGGGAAGGTTCAGGATCAATTCTGCTTGTTTTTTTATCTTTATGGGTATAAAAACTGAGAAACTTTATTCACACTTAAAAAAAATAGATCGGAAAGAAGGGAGTTTGTTATTGCACTGTGGCTCAGTTCTTTGAAATATTACCTAGTTATTTACCTAAAATCACATATTAGTCTCTTATCAAAATTTCTTTTTAAGCGTGTCTCAGCTGATAATTCTTTTAGATGTGTCCACCTTCAGAACTGGAAACTACCTGGCTTGCAAAAGGATTCATTTCCCAGTCGGTAGAGACATTTATTTTCAACACTGTACCGATCTTTTGTAGAGTTTATTCGTATGTACTCTGCAGGTTCTCTCTCCTGAGATTTAGAACTAGTGAGAGATCTGAACGTGGCAGGTGTGTGTGTGTGTGTGTGTATGTGTGAGCATACACAACTGGGGAAAGGGATTGCTGGTCTGCAGCGGATTTTCAGTTCAATGTTAGAAAAAATCCATACCAGCACTGAGGATATGAAAAATCCTTTAAAACCATCCTTGCCTGGGTGCCTGCTGGAAAGTCTCCGTGTATCTCCAAAGTTAATGTAGACCCTGGATTGAAACCACTGCTGTGGGCATTGTAGTCTATCTCTGCCTGTTATACTGAATAAAATTCTAGGCTCTTATTCTTTACGGGAATGCAAATCACCTGAGATACAAGTAAAAAGTGCACTTCCTTATTGGTAATAACAAGAGTAGACCAACTTGAGTCCTATCAGTAGGGGATGATAGGATAAACTGGCATCGTCATGCATAATGGAGTCCTCTATAGCTACCAAAGGAGTGAGTGAATCCGGTGGAAAAATGTAAAGTATGCAACAGATGGTGGGTTACCTTTTATCTAAGAAAGTGAGGGAAACAAATATAATCTGTATTCACTTATGTTAAAAACAATAGGAGGACAAACAAAAAATGGTTGTTCGTGGGGAGGAAGAGATAAGGAGGGAGGGAGTGACAGAGATGGAAGGAGAGTTCATGTACCTTGTTTTCTGGTTTTGACTTTGAAACTGCGTAACAGTCTTCACATCATTATAAAGCTGCATAAAATCAAATGGGAAAGAAAAAGCAAAGCTATTCTTAATAAAAAGTGAAATGGTTTCCCTTTTGTGTGGAATCTAAAAAATAAAATAAAACAAATAAACAAACAAAACAGAAACAGACTCATAAACAAATCCAAGATAGTGCAATCCAAAGATTTCCAAGTATATATTTTATTTCCAAAATAATTTCTTGGAATCTTTGCCTTATTCTCATATGCTTCCTATTTCAAGGCTCAGCCTTCAGATCCTTGACGTATCTCATTGCGAGCTGGGATCTTTCACTAATATTTCTGGGGCAGTGCCTAGGGAAGTTACTTTATCTTCTGGGAATTCAATCACAAAGGATGGAAGGGAGGATGAAGGGAGGGATGTGGCTGGTCCTCAGTGTGCATTAATTAGGACTTTTCTTAGATTATTATGGCAGCTATTGCTTGTCCCGCTAGGTTTTGCTCTGGGGATGTTTGTCAATGTATTTTTTTTTATCAGGGAAGGATTTGACTACCACCTTTCCCAGACTGGACCTTTCTGATGTGGTTTAGGTGGCCCTGGAGGAAAATCAGTGTCATCTAGGTGGACCTTTCCAGAAAATATGGAAAACCTAGCATGTAAAGTCACACATAGTGAGCAGCTGTTGCACTTTATGTATATACTTTAGCATTTATGGTGCTCAGGTTTTACTGTGTATCGTCTCATTTAGGCATTTTAGACATAAGTCCTATGTTGAAGACAAAGAAGTTGACACCCAAAGAGATTAAGTGCTTGTCAAAAGTCACATCAGAACCCAGTGTTCTGGCTTCCAACTGAATGTTCTTTTTGTTGTACCACTGACTCCTTGGATTCTTCTGGAGGCATGCCCATATGAACTTCACCAACACTGGTGGAGCTGACCCGTGAAAATCTAGATAAAATTTATCTTAGTAGGGTCCCTGTGGCTAATCAATACCCTCCTAACACTTTTCTGCCCAAACATTAAGCTCATCAAACTTTACACCACCACACTTGCATTTCTTTCTCTGCAAACTTGGAGATTTCAATTTGGAACATTTCTTCTGGAATGTGTATAAAGTCATCACATAAGGCAAACATCAGTTTGGAGGAATGTGTCATCTAAAGAGAATGTTCCAATATCCTTGACTTTTTTTTTTTTAATCAAGAAGTCAGGTACAATAAACCATTCTACTAGATTCTATCACAAACATAATTTTTCTTTAAAAGAATCATCTTTTGATATGGAACTTACATAAATGAGGCCCGACGGTCCTTCCTTTGATTGGCTTTAAATTTTCAAATGCTATACATAACCATGCTAACATGACAAACAGCTTAGAAATTCATATAGTAAAAAGTGGAATTTTCTCTTAAGTGCTCACTTTCATTTCCCTCTCTAGAGTAGACCACTGCTTTAATGGCTGAATTTCTAGATTTTTCTCTATGCATTTACAGAGTTACACATATTGCCTTTTAACATATTTGCTTATGTATACCGTTTTTTTATATGAATGAGAATGCTAATATATATTTTTAATGTCTTATGTTTTCATTTAATGTATCACTTGCACATAATTCTACTATATTCCTTTTAACTGCTGCGTATACATTTAATGATGAACAAATTGTCTCCCTTAAAAACAATGAAATAAACATCTTTAGCCAAGTATTTCTGCTTATATGAGCAAGTTATTTTTCGAAGACTCCTAGAATTGAAATTACTAGGTTAAAAAGCACTTAACATCTTTAGGGTGGACAGATTCTGCCAAGCCACCCTCAGAAAAAGCTGCCCCAATTTTAGCAATAGTATTTGACAATAACTCCTTACCTCATACGTTCTCAAGCAACAGATAGTATCAATCTTTTCAATTTTTCCTACATAACATTCCAAAATATGTCTCTTTGTTGTTTTAATTGACATCTCTTCATGTGTTTGTAGTCATTTGTAGTGCTTTTGTGGATTATCTGTTCTTATCCTTTACTCATTTTTCTATTGGGTTGCTTTTTAAAACTAATTTAAAGGAAACACTTTATAATATATGGCTTTTAATTCTTTGTCTGTTACCTATATTGCAAATATTTTCTCTGCCATTTGTCTTTTAACTATGCTTATTTTGTATTTTGACATGCAAAAGTTCTTAGTTTATATAAGTTGTATCTCTAAATCCTATCCTTTAATGACTTCATGAACATGTGTCTTGTTTAGGAAGGACTTCCTCTCCTGAGGTTATACAAATACTTATCTAAGTTTTCTTCTAATATTATTATTGTTTTGTTTTTATGTTTAGCTCTTTAATCCATCTGGAAATGATTTTTGTATATGGTGTGAGGTAGGTATCTAAGTGTACTCTTTAAATGAATAGTTCATTGTCCCAACACTTTGATTACTAACCCATCATTTCATATATTAAATTCCAATATTTATATATGAGTCTACTTCTGGACTTTATTTATACCATTGATCAATGAAATTTGTCTATTCCTATGCCAATAACACAGCGTGTTCATTACTGTAGTTTGACAATATGTTTTGCAATTTGATGGAGCAAATCAGTCTTATTCTATTTCAAGTATATCTTAGTTTTTATCAACTATTTACTCCTTTAGATGAATTTTGATATCATATCAATTTCCATACATCATTCCATTAGGGTTTTCATTTAGATTGTGTCAAATTTTTAGATTAATTTGAGGGAGGAATGAGAGATATATGATATTGAATTGGCTTATTCAAGGAAATAACATATTTTCATGTATTTTGATTTTATGTGTTTCAATACTTTCCTTTAAATAGACCCAGTATATTTTATGTTAAGGTTACTGCCTAGGAATTTTATACATTTTTTGTTACTGTTATACAAACAATCTCATTTTTCATTGAATGTGTTGCTACTGGTATATGGGAATAGTTTAATTTTTGTAGGTTCCTTTTGCATCTGGGTAGTTGACTAAATCGTATAATGGGGTCCTAATTGCTTTATAGTTAAATGTTTTGAATAGTCATATCACATGCAGTCAATGGCAGTTTTGGCTTCTTCTTTTTCATTATTTCTATTTTACTTTTATTCTTTCTTTATTGCATTGGCTAGGACACCTGAAGAATATTGTATAAAATCAGTGATAGAAGATTGCTTCTATCCGTCCTATCTTTTGTTAGTAAGTATGATATTTAGTGTGTTAAATTAGGGAAGTTATCTTCTATTACTAATGAATTAGGGCTTTTAATTAGGAAGAGGGGTTGGAAATTTTTGGCATGTTTTGAAAGGATATTTTTTCTTCTATCTCTTAGTAAATAAAACAGTAAATTTTGTAAAGCTGAGGCATTCTTGTATTACTCTTACAAAACGTATTGAGTTATAATATGGAATTCTTGTGATATATCATTAATTCAATATGCTAATATTTGATTGATATTTGGAGACTATGTTCCTAACAGTTTTACACATAGATAGATAAAATACCTTTATCTCTATTCATATGTTTAAGGCTATATGCTAAGTTTGACTGATTTTATCATCAAGGACCTTCAAACCACAGAGAGTTTTCTTAGGAAAGTTGCTGGTTTTTTGTTTTTATTTTGCTTTGGTAAAGTATACATAAGATAGAAAATTTTAGTAGAACCTACCCATGAAACCTTATGGACCTTGTACTTTTTTAATGTATAGATTTTTTACTAGGAGTGTAATTGTTTTTGTGTTCAAGTTTTCTACTTTTCTTAACTTCTTCCATTAATATTTTCTAATAAATCAGTTACAACACTACATTTCCAAATTTGTTGTAATATTTTTAGCATTTTACATTTGTTTCTGTATATCTCTTATTAACTTTGCTCACAGTTTATATTACTTTGAAAGAACTAGTAACTGGTTATATAGATACAGTCTGCTTTTTATTTCTCCCTTTTGGTTGGTTGTTTTACTTGGCTTTGTTTTATATTGCTTCCTCGTTTTATCTTTATTGTTTATTTCTTCTTGAATTCAATAAATTTGTCCTGTTGGTCTTTTAGCTTTTTTTGTTGAATCCTTAACTTAATTATATTTTTAACTATTTTTAAAGCAAGTGCTCAAATGCTATAATTCCCCCCAAATTACTTATCTATAGTTCATAGATTTCCATGAATAAGACTTTAATTATTATTGTAATAAATAGCTTTACATTGTATTTCAGTTATTTTCTTTACCAAATAATTTTTTAATTGCCCAAAGAAAATCTTTTAAAAATTATCCTTTTGTTGTTCATTTCTATTATACTTTATTTGGTACAGAAAAGTTTCTTATTTTTATCTTTACTTTGTTTTTCTCTTGGAACTTCAGATTTCCTTTGAGGTATAATATATTATTGGTTTTATAAATATTTTTAGATTATTCAAAATAATGTGTAGCTTTTTAGGGAGGCCAAAAGACACATCACAACACTCATATCCATCAATTAAAACTCATCATTTTATTTTTTAAATGGATATTTATTTTTTGTTGTCTTCTTTACTGTCAATTTGTGAAAGAAGTATTTTAATTTTCTGTTATAATTGTAGCTTTGTCAGTTCCCTTTTATTTATAACCTGTTTTTACTCTCTATATATTTCTGTTATTGTGTTAATTAAGCATAAAAGTTCTTGATTATCATAGTGGTGAATTTTGCCAACTTCAAATATGACATAAACCACTGTGTCCCCATTTAGTATTTGACATTCTGATTTTTTTTCTGCATCCTTTCAATTTTTAATATTTTATATTTAATTGTATAAGTTACATATTGAGTGTATAAATTGAATATACATTAAATTTTCCTTTTATCATTGTATTTTTGCATTCTTTCATTTTCAATATTTTCTTACATGTCTTTTCTAAGTAACATGCATCTTGATTTTTTAACATAAATTTTTCCTTTATTTAAGAAGTAGTATAATCTTTTTGTGCTTATTGTCTATAGTGATTTTATTTAAACTTCTTTTTCGTTTTGTGCTTTCTATTCACCATTATCCCCTTCCTTCTTTTTGATATTGGTTAGAGATTTTCGGTTCTATTTTCCCAAAACTGGTTTGGAAACTATATGTGCTATTTCTGTTCATTTGGAAGCTATTTTAGTATTTTATCAAGCACATTTAAATTCAAATTATTAGTATCAACACTACCGTCTGTAAGCCCCCTTCCCTTCCCTTTTTCTAGAAGAGAGATCCTTTCTAGGCTTTTAATTATTTCTCTGCCTTCTCGTCTATATACTTATGGTTGAGATTATCTGGAAATTTCATTCCAGATAAGTGTTAGTAATGATAGCAATATAGCTGTATTAGCATTATTAGTATTATTATTTAGTTTATATCTCTGTTTTATAGAGAGCCTTTATTAGAGTTATTGTGTTACATTAAACTACCAAATTACCAACCATTATTTAGATTTAAACTGCATTTTTGCAGCTTATTTGCTCAGCCCAGTTTGTGAAGTTCCAAGTCATTGTGTATATTAGGTTCTTTTTTCTGTGTTTCTGGAATGCATCCTCAACTAATCTTTGCTCCTTTCTTTTCTGAAAGGCTCTGAGTGGTAAACTTTCTGAATCTTTGCTCTTCTGAAAGAAACATCTTTGTCTTTCCACTTGATACAGAACTGTTTTGATTATAAAATCCCAAGTTGAGATGAATTGCTGTAAATCTGCATTATCACATATCTTCTAAAATATTTCAAGATAAGGCAAACATAATTTCCTTTTTTAGAAGCAAGACTGCCGAACTCCCAACTAGTCATTCTTTCTTTAAGTGTTCATTATTATTCCTCCAACTGGCCCACCGTAGAAACGAGAACTTCTGATTAATAGCTCATTAGGACATTTATAGAGAGCTCTTCATAGCAACAGTAGGGGCCTTTCTAATGACAAATCTCATGAATGAGTCAGAAGTTCCAATTTCTGATGCTCTGCTTACTAACGATGCAGTTAGTCCCTGAGTCCTAAAACATGCGTGAATTTTCTTCTACTTGTGCTGATACCACTAACCTGCTGGGCAGTGAGGATTCCCCTAATTCTTCCTCGGGAAAGGGTACCTTGACTGTCAGTCATTTCCTCTTGTCCTTGGCTATTAGATCTGTAGGCCCATGGATGGGTCTCCTTAGGCTTTTTTAAAAGACACTCTCCTCACTGGCCTGTGAGATCTTGCCAAGAACTGTCATGAATTCTGTTTTGGACCCCTGCCTTCTTATTTGCATGTAGTCTTGACATGTTTGGAACCTCCCCATCCCCTTCACTTGAAACATTGAGTCCTAATGCGAGGCTCAAGTGAGAAATTCAAGATTGTCAGGTAGAAGTCATAGTTCTACAGAGTAGATACACATGACCATTTATGCTTTAAGCACTTCGGCCAAGAACTCTAACCTAATGTGTGCATGTACTCTGATACTTGACGGCCCTCAGTGATTTTACCATAGTCCTAGAGTCTGAATCTTCCTCTCCTACTGCAGGTCATCTTGCAATCTCTCCTTACGCGTTGTGCCAGCGAACCTAAGCTCCCTTACGTGGTCCCTCTAGCTGCTACTCCAGCTGCTTCCAGTATTGTAGACCTCAGATGTCTGTGTCTCCACTGGCCCTCTGACACAAGTTGCATCAAATGTGGCTGTCTTAGAGTAAGATGCATTGGACTGCAGACAAACTGTTGCTGGCCACCTGGTCACTCTGCATGTGACTCTGCCTTGCACCCTTTTAGGTTGGAGGGCACACCATGCTCCCCATCCGTTGGATGCCCCCTGAAAGCATCATGTACCGGAAGTTCACAACGGAGAGCGACGTGTGGAGCTTCGGGGTGATCCTTTGGGAGATCTTCACCTATGGGAAGCAGCCATGGTTTCAGCTTTCAAACACAGAGGTATGGAAGGGGGCAGGCAGGGACCTCAATCTGGAGAAAGGCTGTTAAGAGATGTCTCAGGCCAGGACTTAGGCACAGTGTGCAAAACTTACGTGGGGTTTGGAGCCGGCAGAACAAATGTGTGCACAAGCCGGAGGGGAGGGTTTCTTAGTAGGAAAACAAGTAAAGCTTTAGAAAATGTGGTATAATCATCAAGAGAGCCAGGAAATCAGGTGTCTAAATTGAGATGCTGGTCATGTTTCTGTTTCTTCTGCTATCCTTAAAAATCACAAATGTTTCACTAAGGAAATAAAAGCAGAGATCAACTCTGCGTTTTTCAGTTGTGCCATCTTGTGGAAATGCCTGTGGTTTAGTGTGCCCAGAGAATCTGAGTCCCCAAGGGTTTCAGGGACATGCTGGATGGTGAAATGGGATGACAAATTTCACTGATAGAACTGTGTGTGTGGACTTCCAGGAATAAAATGACTCATAATAGTAAACATAAAAATACACTATGGATTTTTTTATAATTTTGATTTACAATAGTAATAAAAATATTGGTAATTAAATTTTAGCAATAGGTAACGTTTAGTGCCAGGCACACTTCTAAGCACATTAACTGTATTAACTCAGTACTTTTCATACAAATAACTGTAGAGATTTGGGGCAAGAGAGGGGAACTGCTTGGAGTTCTGGAGTGGACTTGCCAGAGCCTCAGAGGCAAAGTTTCTGTGGCATGGAGAAGTCCTGGGCTCTGGTCACAGGACTCCTGCCTCCAAAGCCAGTCAAGATGGTTTGATTACATGTAGACTACACTCATGTCATCTAGTCTACGTCTGCACAGCACTCTTTTGCCACTTGGCCATGGGGTTGGCATCCCAGCAGACCTACAAAAGACTGCAGTTATTTTTATGGTCTTCTGTTTTTTGTGAACGTGTGAGCACGAGGACTTTCTAGGAATGGAATCTTGTCTGAATATTCAAGAAACTTTCTTTCTGGAACTATGGTCATCTTAGCTTTCCTATGCACTGACTTAATTAAGTGAATTTCAAAGACTAAAAAGAAGGTGTTTCTTTAAATCAGTAATATCGGTCCCAAGCTAAATGGACCTTGACCACATTTCTCAAAGTAGGACAAAACATTTTAATGACCTTTTAAAAGCAGTGAAAGAGGGTTTATCAGAACCCATGTGTTAAGGTGTTCTAAAAAACTGTTTTCCAGTGGGGTTGATGGTAAACGCAAACACATATATGTACATGCATGCGCACACATGCATACACATGGGCACACACATGCCTCCATGTAGTTTTGTGGCCCCAGGGAAAATGGGATCTGGGCTGAGGGGGCTCTCAGTTTCAGCAGATCTGCCCTGGGTACCCAAGCTGGCTCATTGTAGCCATCAAGGTGTTTATGGTCATTTCTAACATGGCTTGGTAAGGCGTTGGCCTTAAACCTGGACTTCCTGCCCCCAGCCACCTCTCCCACTCCACCCACAAATGTAAAGAGATCAAAGGCAAACAAGGTCATTCTCTTACCAACTAAACAGAGTCCAATCAGGGTGAAGGGAGAAAATGAAACATCTTTTCAGTTACTCAACTAGAGATGACCCTGTGTATTTTTATCACTGCAACCTATCTTCAAACGAGAAACCTGTAGTTTGGGGTAGGTCATTTGCCCAAGGTTACCCTGTGGTAGAGTTAGGGAGAAGTTAAAACTAGTGTGACAACTGGAAGAGGGAACCTTGAGGATTCCCACATCCAGTGTCAGCACAGAAGCACCATTGAGGAATTGGAAATGAACCAATCACAGGCTTGTCCTAAAGCAGCCGGCTGGGCTTGGTCTAGCCATACATTGCTCATTATCTTTCTGCTCCTCCTATGGCCTTCTCTTTGGTATGTTGAGCCAGATCATCCCTTCTCTTGGCCTCATGTTTTTCCTACAACACTCTTAGTAGTGGGGATGTCAGGATGGACATTTGATTTGCATCTTACAGATAAGGCTGCTAAGATCCTATGAGGTTAACTGGTGTGCACCTGTGCAGAGGTGAATCAAGCAGTCAGTCTAGTGTTAGGACTTGGACGGAAACAGAATACATGGTTTAGTGCAAAGAGCAGGAGACATGGCCTTGTCCAGAAAGGAACCTAGGTAGCGGCTCAGAGGTACGTGCAGAGGCGTGACTGGGAAGGGACCTTGCCAGGAAGTGGGGGCTCAAGGCAGATAGGCATGGAGGGGCCAGACAGCCCAGAGCTCCTTTGAGGGGGTTCCAGAGCCATGCAGGCTTATAAGAGGTGGAAGGACAGGTCAGATACCCAACCCCAGGGCCAAGTGGCAAATGAATGCTGTGCAGTCACCCAGGTGAGAGTCAAGCCTGGAGAGGAAGACAGATGTAACAGGAAGAGTGTGAGAGCCCCTGACGGCCTGGCCCACGGGCAGAGGACCAAGGGCAGCGGTGGGCGGCCTGCACAGGGCGGGTGGGGAACTCGGTGCCGTGGGCTGCCCGGCCTTCCGCCTGCGCCCGGGAGGTCCCGGCTCCGCCCTGAGCCGCTCAGGGAAGTGGCTGCCTTCTGCTGTCTGTGCACCACGTTCTCAGGCTGAGCTTCGGAGGTAACCTCCCCGTTCTCACTCTTCCAGGTCATCGAGTGCATCACCCAAGGTCGTGTTTTGGAGCGGCCCCGAGTCTGCCCCAAGGAGGTGTATGATGTCATGCTGGGCTGCTGGCAGAGGGAGCCCCAGCAGCGGCTGAACATCAAGGAGATCTGCAAGATCCTCCACGCGCTGGGGAAGGCCACGCCCATCTACCTGGACATCCTCGGCTAGTGGGGCCGGGGTCCCACAGTCATACTCCTGTCTCCTGGCCTCCCCTCCCCTTCTTCCACCTCACACCTCCTTTCTTCATCCTTGACTGAAGCGAACATCTTCATATAAACTCAAGTGCCTGCTACACATACAACACTGAAAAATAAAGAAAGAGAAAAACCCTGTAAGGCAGTTTGGCATATATATATATATACATATATATATATATTTATATATCTAACTATCTATCTATCTATATCTACAGAGAGATACCTTCTTCTCTAATACAGAGGGAAGCTATTGAAACAGAAACCGCAAGACTGTCACACGGACTCAGAAAATCTTAAATATTATGAACACAAATGAAAACTCCCCTTTGACTTAAGTTGCGGCCCGTGCTTCTTTAGCTCCAGCTTTTCAGAGCCGAAGACCTTGACGACGCAGAGACAATCTTCAAGCTGAGACGGGGAGGAGCTGGGGTGGAGTGGGAATAGTCGTTGCCCAGGTAATCACCTGCACAGGTGTGTTACCTGCGAGCTCTGCACAGGTGCATGGGCAGACCTCATCCACCGAGCTCAGCAAGGAAATAGCACCAGACCGGGTGCCTCTGGGATGCCTCCTGCCTCCCCTGGCCATTGTCTCTAGGCCCTCCCCCTTCCCTCCACTTCAAGGCAATTCTCTGATTCGGCCGTTCTACAAAGTAGAGTCCTGATGCTTTTGGGGGTCAGCGATGACTCCTACCAGTAAACATGGAAACAAACAGCAGCAGAACACGAACCCATGACGGCAGTGGACTGTGTCCACGGTGGATGTAAACCAGGCTCTGGTCCCTTCTAAATTTGAAAGCAATGATCTGTCATCTACCCTCTGAACCTCGAGAACTGGATTTTCTGGACTTAAAGAACCTCAGAAGAAAGAGCTGAAATCTCAACGCTGTCAAGGCACTGCCTTCCGTCTTTCCATCGCCGGAGACTCTGTGACTCCTACTCCCACATTCAGGCCTTTGGGGAGCTCTGGGGGCGGGTAGGGAGCAGCCCCTGAATCATCTGCAGGTGTGGGCACAGCAGTGTTCCGACAGCAAGAGACATAACTCCTTGTAGGCCATTGTAAGGTGTGTGCCGCTGGGGTCTCTGTTTCTCACCCTGCCTCCCCTAGCCCCTCGCCCCAACTTCCCGGCCTTCTGCCAAGTCCCAGGTGAACCCCACTGTCGGACAGGAGAGCCACGTCTGGCGAGAGGCACGGAGCTGGCAGTGGAATGGGCAGGAGCCGGCAGTGGGGGAATCTATCTGGTGTCTGCACCCAGCCCCTTGGCAGTCTCCTCACGTTTGCAGGCCCTGGAAGGATTGATGCATCTGCCTTTGAGCGGCTGTGCAAATGTAGGGGCTGAGAAATCGCTTTTGTGGCTGGGGGTGGGGGGAGGGGCTGCGGATCCCTGGGAGATGTCCAATGCGTGGCCACGGCTGCAGGCCTGGCATCTTAATGAGGGCCGAGCCCTGCCCAGGGAGAGAGAGTGAAGCATGCAGGCTGCAGCTGGCTCCCACTGTCCCCGCACCAGGGGAGTCACTGTGTTCCTGGCTGCTGCTGCTTGCGAGGACTGCAGTGGGGCGGGTCTCTGGGCCTCCCTGACACAAGACGTCAAAATGCCTGCGGAAGCCAACAGGCTGGCCCACAGAGCCTTCCTGCTGGGGAGGAGAGGCTGTGTCACTCCAAGGCCTCTGGCCCCTCCACCCGACCCCAGGCCCAGAGCTCCCTGACCAACTGGCCTTCGCCCACCTGCAGCCTCCTGGGGGCCTTGCCCTGCCAGCGTAAGGGACTGTCAGCAGCCTGGACATCCTGGTCAGCTGCAGTGTGGGCATCCCTGAGTCGGGGTCAAGACTGAATTCTGTATTTGTGGTTCTGCTTCCAACAAATGTTTTTATTCAAATAGAAAAGAGCTGTGCTCAGACTGTAGGCTACAGCTGGGATGCAGGGATCCGGAGGCTGCTCAGCTGGCCTGGGAAGCCGGCAGGGCGGGGCGGGCAGCTGGAGTTTGGTGGGGGCTTTCTCAGCGGGCTGTGCTCCCAGCCCAGAGGACTTTGAAGGGGCGCCCTTCGGACTGACCACCTCAAAGGACTCTGCTGCTGGCCAGTGCGGTTTCCCTCCTGTCTTTCCACCTGGAGGCCCTGGATCTCTCTGGGGCTGCTCCTGCTGGGTGGATCTGGGCAGTCAGTCTGGTTCTGAACTGGGTAGCTAAGGGAGGGGTGCTCACGAAGGGAGCGGTCAGGGGGCTGGGAGGGGTGTCTTTGTTTAGATGCGAGACCCCGGGGTTCCTCTTGCTGCCATATCATCCCTAGAAAAAGACCCTGTGTGGCTTCTTTCTTCCAGGCTGTGTGTTTGTGGAACCTCATCATCTGATGGGCTGGGAGAGGGATTGGAGGCTGGTGGGCTACCTGGGAATGAGGAATGTGCTAGGGTCTCAGCTCAGGGCACTGAGTCGTTATGGCCCGATGGAGAAAGGCAGTTCCTTGGGGAGCAGGAGCATCGAAGGGAACGAGGTTGCTGGGTTGCCCTGGTCTTAGTCCCATGGGCCTCTGTGCTGGCCTCGGGGTCATGTCTCCGGCGTGTCCATCATCAGCGGCTGCCTGTTGTAAGAGCAGAAGGCAGAGGGTGGCACAGGAAGGAGGCGTGGAGGCGGGACTGCTTGCTTACTGATCTCGGACTCTCTCTGAAGAGTCTACACTATTAATTTATTACCCTTGGCAGGTAAAAAAAAACAAAAACAAAAAACATTTAGGAGCATGAAGGAGGCAGAGAATAGGGCTATGGAAAAGGAGGGGTACTCTACGGCTCTGGGGATGGTAATTATTCCCCCTGCAGCGGGACAGGATGATAAAAATTATGGTGCCTCAGTTTCCCCATCTGCAAAATGAAAGGTATGCTTGCTAATCTCTGGCCCCTTCAAGTTCTGAGTTTTTAGATTCCAGCAGCACAGAGTCACTGTGTTCTTTTTCTCAGTACCACCCTGCAGTGCCAGGGCCAGCCCTCCTCAGGCCGTGTGTGGGTGGGGCAGCTGCCTCTGAGGGCCACCCGGGCAGTCTTCCTTTTTCCCTAGATCACAACAATGGAGAGGCTGCAGTGGCTGAGCTCCTTTAGGCTCAGAGAAAGCCTTTGGTCTCGTTCCCCGTCCCAGCCTTCCTGCACACCGAAGATCACCAGAGAAGGTTTATTTATTTACTTACTTTTAAAGAGCCTAATGCAGTTAAATGAGTTCTGAAATGACAATCCCGCTAGGAGTACGGCCGCCCCGGTCCGCTAACTGACACCCCTCCAGACCAGAAGCTACAGTTAAATGGCCAGGGCCGAGTCGGAGTGAGAGCGGAGCTTGGTGTGACCGTGGGGACTGTGTGTGCCGCTCAGGTCACCCAGGCAGATGTCCCTGCTGTGCCATCCTCACCTGGTGCCCTCCCAGACTGGGTGCGAGGGGCCCGCTTGTTGGGTGGTCACCTGGGAGGAGGGGGCATGGGAGGGTCCTCCCAGCTCTTTGGTGGTGAACCCCCATGCTGCCCTCTGACTACACCCTTGGCCTCTGAGTGGATGGAGAGAGCAGGCCTCTCAGCCTCCTCTTGTTAGCAGACAAGGACTCGATGCTCCTCCACTGAGCAGATCCCGCACAAATCATCCCTGGAGACAAGCTTCCCACTGGAGACAAACCTTGGTCCTTCTGGCTTCTGGTTGGTTGACTGTGACCCTTGCTCTGTGGTGACGCTTACTTTACAGAATACACTAGTGCAAACATTTCTGGTGCTACATCCTCCGACAGACACCAGCACCGACAGGAGGGCTGACAGCTAGTTTCTGAGGCCACATGAGACTCAGCGGAGAAGCAAGTGTGAGCCAGTCATGCCGGGAGAATGTGGGCCGCATGGGAAGCTGGGTGGGAATGTGGGGCCGGGGGAAAGACCATCACAATCCCTGCCTTCGCTTTTAGTTCCCCAGGTGACCTTGGCCAGGTCAGCTCATCTATCAGAGGATCAGATTTCTCATCTGAGATATTTAAGAGGTTGGAATAGATATCCTTAGGGTTCCAGTTAAAAAAAAAATATCCATGTTCTGGTCCCACCTGTTTTTCTTTTTGCTGTTGTATTTTGTTTTCTCACTTTGCTTGTTAGAAATAAGAGAGGAAATGAAAGCCAGGTAAGGAAGGGGACGGAGGAAACATGTCCAATGGCAAGAAATTGACGATAGAAGGCAGACAGGAAAGGGATATTGGTGGGGGAACCAGGTACACAAGCCAGGGGCCCCATTTCCTGGTTTTCAAGGGGGCTGCTGCCAGGCCCCCTGGTGGACTTTCACCAGCCTGTCCTCCTCATCTACCCTGCCCAACACTGACATGCCCCAAGTTGGCAGAAACTGGTCCGAGATCCAGAGACAGACCTGCCCACTTCTCATGCAGGTCACTAGGAATCTGAGGTCAGCACCAAGAGATTTTTCCCTTCAGGTACTATTGTAAGGAGGTGTATTTTGGAAAGAGGGCAGGGTTTGAGGTCGCAGACTACTCAGCAAAGTCCTTTTGCCATTCAGGACCGACTGATGGCTTTCCCTTGCTCCCTTTTGCCAAGCTAAACAGCAGTAACGTTTTCTTGACTGAAGTACGTTTAAGACAGTGGGCAGCCTTGGGATTCAGGGTCTTCTCTGTGCTTCGTTTAAAGTCTGGAGCCAGGAAATATCTATCAATGGTTGTTGAACAAGCCCATGAACTGGCAGTCAATTTGTCCTCAAATTCTCAAATTCTCCTGGGACATTGGTGGTCAGCTGTGGTTGGATGCCGACCTGCTAGAATGCCTAATGGCATCTGCCCTGGAACAAAAAAAATGGCACCTTTAGCTCAGGGCTTGAAGTTGTAGTTACTGTGTTTTTGGTCCCTGGAGTGCCAACCTTTTTATGTGATACCAAATACATTTTTTTTTTTTTTGGCCAACACTTAATAGGTTTTAGGAGAAAATTCCGAGTTTTTGTATCATTACTAAGATTTCAATATAGGCTTCAGAAAATGTTTTGGGATTGCTTAACCTCACTGCTAGCGCCATCCTAGGAAAGGTATAGACCTGCATACATTGGATGCTTCTATCTATATATTCAGTTGCAATAGCGTCAGTGAAGGTCTGCTTGGAGTCAGCAGGACCTGTGTGGGATCAGCAAGATTCCATAATGCTTGATCTCTCTGAGCCTTATGGTTCTCGGGGATGAGAAATCCAGAGATGGACTAGCCTAGGAGACGTTCAGAAAGGTACTGATGGGACACCTGTCATCTTGTAACATTTGACCATTTGGTGCTCCGTGAATTAAATTATGCTGATGACTACATTCTGAGCATCTGAAAATCACTCTTTCAGGTTGGCTGCCTGGTAGATTATCACAGGGGAACCATTTCTGCGGTATCCCATCTGAGGGTTGGTATAGCATTTACCAGCCCTGCCGGTGAAACCAGCCCCCAGCAGGGATGGGAGAGAATGTGAGATGGTGGGAATCACTTGGTCTTCTGCAAAGCCTTGCTGACTGTGGTGGGTATGGTGAATAGCACCACACTAGGTATTAGGGCTTTTGCCGTGAGCACAGGCTGTCCACCCTAAGGGTGGAATTGGCTTCTGATAGGGTCTTTGTTTACCTCGTGTCATCTCCCCAAAGATAGTCCCTTTGACTGCTTAAAAGACTCTTGTACTTTGCAGCAAAAGACATCTCTGGCCCAAGTCTCAGGATGCCAACATAGACACTTTTCTATTTCACAGGGAGATCTGCGGAGATTCAGAGTCCCCATCAAAACACTTGGAATTCTGAATCAAAGTAATAAAATTCAGATTCTCCTTTCTCTTGATCTAACCAAGTCCCAAATTTGAAACAAGGCCTGGTTTCGTATTTGCAGCAAGAACAATGTCTTAATGCTGGGCTGTCTTCCATTGTATAGAGGCAGGACAGTAAGCTTGTTAATTTTTGCTAATCGCCAAGGAAAACCTGACTTTGTGTTTAGTGCCATGGCCCAAGTTTTAGCCTACAGGAGACACATAGGGCCGACGAAGCTGGAAGTTTCTAACAGAGGATGTTTCAAGATAATACAGATGAAGAAAGGCCTTTTGGACATCTTTGGATGACCTTTGGAAAGGCCAGTGTGTTGGTGCTCAAGTCTCGCTTTTCAGTCGAACATCTTAGGAGAGGAATTGATTTTTTCTCACTTTGGACAATGACACATTTAGACATCCTTCGTGAAAGTTCAAAGGACTGAGAGCCCAGATACCCACTGTTTACTTTGATATTATTTTGGATGCAACATCCCTAAAGTCCAGCAAGAAATGTGAATATTCAAGTCTAAGGCTGAAAGTTATTCCTTCATTTAAGAAAAGCGTATGGGAGTGATAAAAAAAAGAAGAAAAAAATTGTAATACTTTAACTGATAGAACATACTCAAATGAAGGGCTTCCTTGAATGTTTTCTTTCTTGGAGAACCATCCATGTTTCATCTCCATATAACAGCTTCCCAACATCTAGCAGAAGCCTCTGAGCCCACCTCTGGCATAACAAATAAACCTGGTCCAGGTGATTTGATTTCTGCTTCCCGTAGAAAAGAAGTAAATTTCAGTAAAGAAGATTTTCCTTTATTTTTATTATTTTCACTTTTACTGTTTTTTTTTGTATGTGTGTGTGTGTGTGTGTGTGTGTGTGTGTGTGTGTGTCTGTTTGGCTGCTATTCTCCTGCTTCCGTGGGACTGACAGTCTAGTTAGTTTCTCAAAGTCCGTGAAAGTTTTAACACGAGGTGAATTCCAGGACCACAAACAGTTTGGACTTCAAACAGTGAGAAAATTGGTGTTGAATGATTCGGCACACAAAATAGAAAACCTTCATTTCCTGCAGGCGGGATGGAATTGACTGTTATATTAAGACTTCTGAAGGAGTCCTGCCCTGAGTAATTTCAGTGCTGTCAGACAGCGCTGACATCTAGATTAACCTCTGTGCAGTGAAGTTTACTGCAAAGCTCATTGAGATGCACGTGCTGTATCTCTGCAAATCTCATCTGGAACCCTCGGTGGCCCACCCTCCGCAACGCCCGTCCCTCCCTCACCTGCTTCTCTCTCTATCCGTGAACTTTCAGCCTCCAGGAGCAGAGGAGCCATGACTGGGAGCTGACCTCAGGAGAGGGGGTTTTGACTTCCTTCTGACCACAGTGCTGAGCCAGGCTTTCTGCTCAGTTGGAGTGACAGTGGTTGTCTTCATATTGGTTTTCCCCTGAGGGGACTGAAAAATCAAGGTATTAAAGCTACTCTCGTGATGACCAACAGTTGTGTAGCATATCTCGATACTACACAAGTGAAATGGCTTATGAAGAAGCCGTGTGGCTGCACTGGTGAGCCCTGCTCTGGGGTCCCCAGTCCTCTGGCACTGCCAGGTCCAGATGCAACAGGTCATGGATAACTGCAGCCCGGGAGCCAGGTGGGGAGGTGGGCGCTGAGGGACAGAGGGCTTGCCCTGTCTGTGCAGGTATTTGCTGTGGTCCTTACAAGAGAGGCAGTGTCAGCTCCTTTCCCTCCTGACTGGGACAGAGGATGTGTCTGTCCTCTAAACCCCAGCTTATCAGCTCTGTCTTTATGCACTGACGGGCTCCAGGATGACCCAGACTCTTTCTAACTCTCTATTCGGTGCCACACTAAGGCACTGTGGCGAGCAGAAATCTCAAAGCTGAAATCACAACTTCTCTGCAAAGTGAGGCTATTCATTACATTAAAAGTCTTGAGAAAAGACCTTTAGCTTAGATTCAGGCACTTTCAGACTGTAGAGTGACTCCACACCATCACAGGTATTTCTGGAAATGGACCTCAGGATTTTAGACTACCCGGAAGTCCAGAGAAAACTGATTTCTCTGGGATTTCACTGATTGACTCTGAAATCAGTTTTCCTGCTTTGCCTCTTGTCTCTAATATGAATATCAAGAATCTCCTTCTATGTTCTTAGATAACTTCTTTAGGAGAAATGAAAGCTTCTAGCAAAGGACATTGCATTTATTGACTGGGAAACTAGATTTCTGGGCCACATAATGTCACAACACATAGAAGCAACTCTGATGGCTGTATTTAAAAGTGATTATCATTGCTGCATTTGTTCTGTATGCTCAAGCTCACGCAGTGCAAACAGCGTTCATCTTTCTCTCTCATTACTTAGAATGCTTGTTCCTGTGTGCACATATGCACACACACCCATGTAATGCCTCTGCACTCCTATTGGCCCAACAAGGCCACATGCCCATCGGTGTTTCTCCCATGGATCTCCATGTGTATGTGTGTACAAATATGTGTGCATCGGGCCTGTGGTCTCGTAACTTACCTAGAACTTCCTTCAGTATCATTACACAGCCTCTGACTTCCTGCACAATGAGTCATGTGTGAAGTTAGGGTTTTTTCAAGGAAGACCAAATCCTGTGCTTTAAGGACCTTCACATGTAAAAGCGAGACCAGAGTTCTCAGAGAAACAGAAAACCAAACCGAACCGTGGTACAGATTTAATTGAATTTCTGGGACTCGGGGAACACTGCATTTGGGCTTGATGACACATATGAAGTGTGAATATAAATGTGAACCAGTTCAAGCAGTTACTGTGCCTGTCTTGGAGCTGAAACAATTGGATATAAAAACTCAGTTCATATTGGATATACAAACCTTAGTGTTAAGTGGGCAGCTGGCAGCTAGTTGCAGATATGTGCCCCTTTGCTGAGTCCAGCAAAGGGGCACATTTTCTGTGCCCCTTTCTCATCCCCTGCTCAGCTCAGATATCACTAAAGTATAGCTTCTCAAGGTCTCACCTAGGGTAAGTTTGCACGTCCCCGCCCTGAAGAGTCAGCCCTGCTTTAATCTCACGCTAAGTTCCTCTCTTATAGCCCTCCTTAGTTTTAGTTCTCGGGGACCTCTGAACTCTTCCTGTCCATCTGCTGTCTCTGACTCCACCCTCCGAAGGCCAGATTCCATCTCTGAGAAGTCAGATTCCAGCTCCCTCTTCTGGAGCCTGAGCATCAACCACGCTAGTGATTTAGTCTAGGTTTCCGGAGAAGAAAACTGTGTTCCGTCGCAGCCATCCGTCAGTCTCTTTCCAGCTCCGTGGACCAAGTGATTAGCTCCTCATTAGCACCTCATCAGCTGCTTCTGCACAAGAGACTCTGGAACAACAAGCCTATTATAACGCCACAGTCTGTCTTTTTGAAGTCATCCCTTCCTTCTGGCTTGGTTAGGAAACGCGGGCCTGCTACAAACAGCTTTTCCTTGAAATTCCTCTGGCTTTTTTTCTGGCTCTTAAATATACAGATAAATGGTAAACCGTGGTTTTCTTTTCTTTTTTCTTTCTAGGCCCCTATCAGCATGAGTGTACTGTGTCCCTACCAAGTAGGAGCGCCACAGGTCAGCAAAGTGTTTATGTATTCAGCAGAGTGGCTATGAAGTTGACACAGATTAGCAGCAGCGTTCCAGATCTTTAGGGGGATGGAGTCAATTTTCAATCAAATGGCACCTTTACTGTGTTGGCACCAGAAAGGCTTATACCTTAAGAACAGAGCCGAACCTGAGAACATGCTCCCGTTTTAGGGAACAATGAGGTGCAAGAAATTACCCGAGGAGCTGGGAAATCAGATCCCCTGTTGGGAAAATTATCATGAATCAAAAGATGCTTCAACTCTGTCCTTTACATGGCTTTGAAAAACACAATATGATTAACGATCCACATTCACCATTAAAAAAATTCATCATTAACCACACCCCTATTTAAAAAATATCGTTTTTTTCCCCTCAAAACTCTGGGGATAGTTCAATATTGTATTTTTTTCTTGGTCTTTCTAATGTTTCCAATGAGATTTCTAAGATGTTTCACTTTCATTTCTGTAGGGAAGACCTGGTGTCTATTTTAAATGATGTCTATGATAAAATGGCAAGTCAGGCAGAGGGGAGATAATGGGACCAGGAGCAAGAGGTGCTCTGAGGTCTCATTTCCTGCTGAATGATCTTGGAAAAAAGTGTCATTGCGTCTATGCCTCAGTTTCTTAATTTACAAAAGAGAACTGCTAACAAACCCCTGCTTGCCACAGAGGGTTAGCATGACTACCAGATGAGGTCGCAGCTGTCAAAATGCTTGGGGGCCTCGATGGGATGCCTCGAGAAAGTGAAGCCCCGTCTCTGGGAAGTCAGTGTTATAAGCAGCTGCTGGGTGCTGAGCTGGGGGTGGTTTTGGGGGTGTTCTTTGTTGTGAGGCACACAGATACTTTCTCCTTCACATTTCTTCAATCCCTCCTCAAGACTGATTTTATCATTGGCAATCCCCTGTCATTGGAATGACCACTGAGCAGCCGGGGGTGGAGAATCCCATTGCACCAATGCGCATAGAGAGACGATGTTTTCCCTTTTTGGCTCTGTCACTAAAAAGGGATTGCTGGTAGAGTTTTGTTTTTAGGCCTGGCACCCTGAACGTTTTGTGGCAAAATAGCAGCTCCTGCTGCAGATAGTCCATATCACCTGCTTGTGGCTTCCATGAGAGCTCTGTAGATTTAAATGTGATGTTTTTTTTTTTTTAAGTAAGATTATATGAAGCTTCCTCTATAAATTGGGTGATGAGACTCATCTTGCAGGAAGCGCACGAAGTTATAATGATCCTGAAGCAGTAGCACATGCATTCTAGGGCAGCATCTGGTGCCTGGGAAATCACCTTAAGACGGAAAAAACTGAGTGAAGACCAAATGCGAAAATACACTTCTAACAACCCTGAGCACCCACAAATAAGTGTGAGTGGGGTTCCCCACCGGGAAAGGCATTTAATTGGAAATGAAAGCCCGGATGATAAGTCCTGAGGCCAGATTGCCAAGGTTTCAAAAGTGAGGTCATTTACAGCCCCTAAAAAGAATCCCAGACATTTCTAAAACCACCCAAAATTGTAAGTACTTTGCAGTGATGACTACTGACCAAGTTGTCTTTCTAATATTATTTCTTTCAAATCTCCAAGTGACAATCATATATAATGTAACTGACTAAATGCTGTGTATTATTATTATTATTATTTTTTAAAAAAAGGATTTTTCGACCACTCCAGAGAGAAATCTGAATAAGGCTGAGTACCTGAAATCCAATTCCTCAATGTCTTTCTCAAGTTCAGACTACGTCGGCTTCCTTTTTCTCTTTCTACTTTGGGCTCGATTTTTGTCTGTCTTCTATAGAAAGGCAACATGTCTGTTCTGAACGTCTGTCCAGGTGATTGTCCTCCTGCGACTGTCCAGCAGACAGAAAGCATTTTAGCTTTCTTTGAAATGAAAGCCAAAATTGGGTTGTGACTAGGATTTTAAATCATGGTGTGAAATCGGAGAAAGTGTGCAGGTTCAGGGCGGTGTTCACTGATTCATTCTGATCCTTCTGAGATGACCTCCTTCACAGCACCGAAGGTCTGCCTTGCACAAGCCATTTCACTGTAGAACCCCTTAGTGACAAGGCTGATCATTTAAGGATTTCAGAGGTATCACTTGAGAAAGAACCCATTGGATATGGGAAATTTGATCCCCTATATTAACAGGAACAAGAAGAAGAACTTATTTTAATGCTTTTTTTTTTTTTTCTTTCCTCTTTCCGGGAGTTTAGCCTTTCTTGGGGGCCACTGGGATAGTTCCTCTTCAAGGCTGGAAAAGATCGATTAGAACTCATATCTAAAAGCCAAGGCTCCCTCAAGCCCATTGGAGTTGGAGGTAACCAAAAAGTGACCCACGCTAACGTTCTGTTTCCCCGACAGAATCAAGGATCCATATTGGTTTTGTGTGTGGGCCATGGTGGGTGAGCTCCAGGGGCTTTGTCAAAATAAGGTGAAAAGAAAGCAGATCAGGACAAGAAAATTCTCTGAATGTGAGAGAAAACAGCCGTCTTGCTTTCTCTGGCAATGACTCGTGTGCTATTGAGAGAAGAATCATGTTCTTTTGCGAATGGGTTTTGCTTTCTGAGATACGTGTGTGTGTGTTGTCTGGGGGCTGGTTGGGGATAGTTAGGAAGTAGTTGTTTATGAGTTTAGACTTTCTCTTGAGCCTAGTAAATCTCTGCTTAGTTTCTCAGAATGTGACAATACTGTTAGGGTGGAGAGGAATTCAGAGGCCTATGTTTCAGTATGTGGTAACGTTTCACCCGAGTATTTCCTTCAGAAACTTAATCCTGGCAAGCCAAATTAATACTATGTTTGCAATTGGTATCAGGAGAGAGAAATCAGTAGGTTTCTGCTCACCCTGGTGCTGAATCCATTGAGGGCTTCTTTTCTAAGGGTTATGGATCCTTGCTTCATGTGAGGGAATATACCAGTAGGGACTGAATTGTGGAGGTGGTTGAGCTACTCCATCAGTATTGTGGCAATGTATGACCTCCTGTCCCACAGGATGACTAGAGTCACTTTCAGGCTGCTTTCATTTGAAATGGCACAAAAAGAGGCCTTCAAAAACACGTTTTGAGGTCTGTCACCTAAAGTCAGCCTCTCCTGAAAGGTTTTTCAGTTTGATAGGCACCTTTTCTTGCTTCTCCCATCTGCCAGTGATTCTTGGGTGTCTGTTTTCAGCACCAGGGACAGCAAATACCTCCTTCAGTGGAACCAAGGCTGGTTATCCTCCTGATGGACCTTCCGTTCAAGGAAGAGTGGGTTTTTCCTTTACTTCCTGTCCACTGGGGCCTCAACGGGGAAGACCTTATTCATCTTTTGTTTCCAGACCTGGTGGCCTAGCTGTTTCTGACATGTTCTTGACTGGCTAACCAGTGATGGGGGCTGGGCCAACACCCAGGTCTCCTGACTCACAGGAGTGGAGACAAACGTACTTGGACATCAGTAGGGTGCACATTTTGGTGCAGGTACACCCTGCACAGAAGTTTTCATGAGGCACTATTGACTTGTAAACTCCCAAATATGGGACTAATTATTGGCAATCACTTTCTTTTTAAAATTCGTCTGCAGCTCCCCACAACGTACACGTCTATGCAATGCTCTTTGTGCATCGGCTGGCAATATGTCACGAGAGTTGAGTGGAAGCTATGAACTCCGGGGACAGAAAAGGGCCCAGGGATGCTGTTGTTAGGTATTTTGGAGACTCAGGGCAAGGCACTGTTTTGAGTGCCAGCAGCTCACCCTTCAATCCTGAGCGCTGTTCAGTAGCTAACTTTGCCTTCGACGATCATAGTAAAAATGCAAATGGGTGCACTGAGAAAAGAAGCGTAGCAGGAGCACATGTTGCCATTTTGCTTTGTGACTGGCTGGTTGTCGTTTAGCACGCTGATACGTAGATTCACTCTTAGAGGCAGCACTGTCTTCTCTTAACTAATGTTCAGCATCTTCCTCCTCGTGTCAGGGTGGCCCCAGAGCTGGGAAAGCAAGACAGCCACTCTGCATTTCATCTTAAATACTGTCTTCTATTTCACAGCTGTTAAATAAACTCCATCTCAACTGCCTCGGGACCATCCAAGGCTCTGAACGCTCGCGCATACCCTCTCTTCCACTGTCTCCATTTCAGTGTTGCTTACCATAGTTCATAACACCTAGTGGTGTAAGACCTTAAGGGATTCTTTTGAAGGATACTTCTCAGGTGGCAGCAGCAGGTAGAGCCAAATCTCAGAGGAGCAGTTTCAATGGCATTACAACTTTTAACCTTGGATGGAGTGGGTCTGAAGAGAAGCCGTCCTTTCCCTCCATTCCTTGATCTCTTGGGGGCCTCCCATTCCAGGGCTTGCATTGCAAAAAAAAAGGTGTAAGTTCCTCTAGGTTATTATGTGAGGACTTAGGGGTGGAGGGTGGAGAGGTAGGTAGTGGCAGGGGAAAAAATTCTTTATTAATGTCCTTTAGAATACAGCTTTGTTTTATATTGAAATTGAGAAACAATCCTAATTTGGGAAGAATATGTACATGAAAGGCCTAAAGCTAGAGGAGAGCGTTTAAGAAGAGACATTCTTTTTCCTTAGAACAGAGAAGAGGTTGTAGATCCCCTGGCAGGAAACGAATGATCCAGTGGCCAGCAGGAAAGGTGGTCTGAGACTGGAGAGACAGAAGCAGGCATTGTTACACATAGAAGCGGTGCCAGTGAGAGCCTCAGGTGGGAACAGGCCAGAGGACAAACTCCTACAGAGGTTCTCAGTACCTTTTCTGGAAAATTCCTACAATTTTCAAGAGCACTTCCAGCCCTCTGTGTCGTTAGAGGTGAGCTCAGCGCTACTTCTGGGTTCTTAAGGCAAATGCCCGAACAAACACCAAAGTCTTGTATTTTCCACCCTCAGCCAACACTGGCTGGTGTGAGTGGAATTTTTTTTTTCCCCTTCCCTATGTGAAAGGGACTTGTGTTCAGGAGAAGTGTCCTTTAAACATCCAGATAAAACTGGAGGTAATTTTTTGCATGAGTGGCTTTTTACAGCTAGGTCTAAAGCAGAACAAAACTTGTATTAAACTAAGTGCTACTTTACATATCTTATTTCAAGGGAAATGAAGGATTTATTGCCGTGTAAATGATGTACACTGATTTGTTTCCTACTGGACATTACATGTCCCTTTATCTTTAGGCTGATATTGTGCAGCAAACTTTCAGTATCTAGAAAATCAGCTTGTACCTACTTCTGTGCACTCTTAGGATGTTACATTCTCAGAGAGGAATTTTGCAAATGAAGTTTAGGTGGCGTTGTAACTGATTTCCACCCCGTCCCTAAGCTTTCTATACTAAATATATGTAAAGTGATTATATCTTGTCTGATCCCATGTATTTGTGTGTGTCCCAATGTTTGTAAAAATGTATTGGCCGACCGAAGCGTTAGTTGGATTATGGCCACTGCTGAACAAAGGTGTATATGGCATGTGGACATGTGACACATGCGCACATTTGTTCTCAGGTCAAGCTGATCTTACAAAGTTTAGGGGGAAAAAAGTTAACGATGGATATAGTATTGCCAAGCCATCACTCATGGGTGGAGACCCTGGCAGCAGCAGAGTTGAGGTGTGCTCAACTGGATTTTACATCATTTTAATCTCAATTGATTATTTCTCAGTTTTATGTTGAGACTTAGAAATAATCCTCTATGAAGCTTATTTGTTTGTTTTTTATTCCCAGACCACTGGAAAGTGCAGATCATGCTTGCTTCCATCATTTGGACCCCAAAGTTGTTCATTGAAAATGGGTGGCTGAGGTTTTAGTCAAACCGAGTCTTACTAATAGCGCCCCCTTCTGGAGGTGCTATTTCCCCATTCAATCCCTTCATGACAAATGAATCCTTTGGCCATGCTGTTTATTTGCGTTCTGGCAAGTCTAGGAGAATCAATTTCATTAAAATGATGATTGTATTTGCCTTTGGAGAAGAGGCTCATGGTCTAAGTACTGATGTAAAGGTGTCCTTTATGCAAAAAAAAAAAAAAGGATTCTAACTCGGTAAGATGGGCCCAGGGTAGGGGGGGCTGTGTTCTCATTTGATATTAAGGGGTGCATTGACAAGGCAAGCGTTTGCCCTTTCTCTATCCCCCTCCCCATCCCTTCCTTCCTCCCCCAACCTCAAAAGAAAACAGAAAATTATTTTTTTAAATTGTAGCGATAATTTATGTTTAATACAAAGGATGATTTAATGGTATCACCAAAGGTCATTTCTCCCACTGCGCATGTCCTTCACTCCCGGCCCCGTGCCCATCCCTGCGTTCCTCACTGTCATCCTTTTCCCAAGGCAAACATGTGTCCTCATTGGAGTCTCTGGGTGTTGGAGGTAAATGTGGGGGTGGAGATTTAATACCACGACACAAATGAAAACCAACCATCCTTCACTTTCCAATGGTTGATTCTACAAGAAGGAAACTCTATTCTTGATTTTTGCTTAAAAATATTTTATACATATATATGTATATATGTGTGTGTATGTATGAACATATGTATGTATATGCACATGTACATGTATATATGTATATATCCATCTCTGATATAAATATATCATGTGTGAGAGAGTTGTAAATACTCCTTGGTCATATGTCTGTCTTCCACATGGTCTCATATCTTCAATGTTATGTTAATGACTCCATTTATCGATTGATGAAATCGTGTGTAGACCTGTATCCTCCGACATAGTTTATGTAGGGTCTCTTCTCAAATAAAGGATAAAACATTGGTGCCTTTGTTTTATTTAGATATGTGACTTAGTAGAGAATTGTGTTGAATTGAAATCTGGGGGAGTCCAAATGTGTGGCAAAGACTGTAGGATAGCATCCTCCTGACGGCTGGGACCCTGGTCTGCTGAGGGCATGAGGAGCTTCCGTGATGTTTGGGGGAGCCCCTGAGCTGCACATTGGGTCGGTACGAGGGTTTCAAGAAGAACATACGCACATTTGTGACTTGAGCTGGGGCCCAGGGAAAGGATTGAGCACCTCCAGCTCTCTGTCATGGTAACGTCCTGTCGCTCCACATATGCTATTATTAAACTTTCTAGTTAAAATAATTTCACTTAAGTTCCCAGTATGGGCTAACGTTTGTTTCCTTGGCTATCTTTTTATCTCAAAGCTTCCTTGGCGTAATTACTTGAAAACTTTGTATCTCTCTCTCTCTCTTTTCTTTACAATTCCTGTTCCTTTCTCTACATCTTCCTTCCTTACTTCACATAATGCTTTTCCTTTAATGAGATTCCATTAATTTCTTCCACAATCTTCGATGCATTGTAGGGGAGAGACAGGAAGGTATAGACTATAATTTCACTCATGAGAGTTCAACAGAGATACAGAAGGGCTGAAGGCACGGTTCCCCCACCTTATCGCTACTGAAGTTTCGGACCAAGGAATTCTTTGCTGTGGGAGGCTGTCCTGTACATTGTAGGATGTCTGTCCACATTTTCTTTAGAGCAGCAGTCTGTCCTCCTCTCAAGGTATGTCGACCAGAAATACCTCCAAACTCTGACAAATGTCCCCTGGGGCAAAATGCCCTGGTTGAGAACCGCTGCTTTAAAGGTTTAGATCTGACTGCACAATGAATGGCACATGGTATTAAAAAGGGGATCAAATTCAGGAAAATCAAGAGCCCCTGGTAGTACAGCAACCCTTTCCAGACCAGCTGCTTAACTGTACCACATGGTAAGCGGGTCCCTTTTCTCGGAGCGCATCTCCCTTCAGAGCCTGTTGCTAAGGGTCAAGTTACAGCATCACGTTTGAGGTTCAGGCGGCAACAGAAAAATCTTCCTTATCTCCATATATCACATGTGTCATTATAGAATGGAATACCTGTTCATGCTGCTTTTTAAAAAATGTGTAATTCATATGGCTCTGAGTGGGAAGAAACCCAAACAGGTTATGTCCCTGGGAAACAAGTGGAACTTGCATCAAATCTTCCCAGGCAAGAGCTACTATTCTCTGAACAACGATAGGTGCGTAGCACATCCTTCACAGATTTGTTGAGTTGGACTGGCTTTCTCAGTCTCCAAACCTCCGATCACTTGTGTGGTGTTCAAAGGGCTAAACCATGCCTTGTGAACCTCACTTACGAAGACACACAGGATGCAGACTTCTGAGCAGCCTGACAGCGTGGCAGTTACCAGTACGCATCTCTCCTCCCTCAATGCGGCAGCCCGTGCACCAAGGGTTTCCTGTGGCAGCTTGTATGGCAGAACTGGGCTGCCTGAAGGCAGAAGTGGATGCTTCTCAAAGTACGATTTTGAATGCCCTCTAAAGTCTAAGCCTGGCCTGGTGCTTTGGTTTTTTTATTATTTAGCCCAGTGATGCCAAACGACTGAAGTGCAGTGAGAGACAGCGGGTCCCACCCCACACGTGAAACCCTCAGCATCACCCTTCTCCAGGGAGTCCTTCCCACTCTGTGCAGTGGCCAAAGAGGCCCTGGGGGTGCTTATCTACACTTCAGAATGTCCTCATGCCCTTGCAACTCATTATTTGGCATTTATATTGGGATGGGAATCCAAGCACTGGATATGGTTATGGACCTCTAGGTCTGGAAGGTCCTTGATGGATAATCTTATTCTATTACTTGCCTGTAGCCAGGATTCTCAAGTACACAAAAACTGGGAAAATCTCCCGAATGGAAGCATCTTCTGATGTTAGAGGTCACGGCTAATACTGTTGTCTTATGAAGACCACATGCTCTTAAAAAAGTCATCATCCCAGTGGCGACACACAGACTCAATTGTCTAATAGAGAAGCTTTAGAAATTGCAACTGATCACCCCTGACACCGAACCCGGGGGCTGCCTTTAATAGGATGGATGGCAGAAGTGCCAGGAAGGCACTCATCAGACACAAAGGAGAGAGAAAAATGGATCAAAGCTGAACGTCAGCTGACCCTAGGGAAGGGGGTAATTCTTGGCCTGGGTCTTGGACATGTGCAGTGAGCTCCCAGGAATCCCAGTCGAGTTTCTCAGGATACCTTCTCTAATGTTCCGAGGCATGGCGGGGCCTGTTGTTCTGGACTGCGTGCTGTTCTTGCTCCTGCTAGGATGCTCAAGATCACTTAGCTATTAACCAGGGAAGGTTCTATTTCTGCTTCTCTTTTTCCCCTATCACCAAGGCTTGCAATGTTCTCAATTATTCAAATCACTAGCGCAGGGCCCAGCAGAGGATCTAATTACTGCCCTGCTTGCCACTTGCTGACGAGCAGCAAGGGCCAGGGAATGACTTTAAAACAGTTAAGTAGGGAGGGGCAGCTTCTGTGGAAGGGTCTCTGGAAGTCTCCACTGTATTAGGGAAAGCTGGATGGCATAGGCTTGGGTAGTTTTCTGGGTCAGACCATCTGACTACAGACCATTGCTGGATGCCCGTGCCTCAGGAGAGAGCACAGACCTTGTGTTAAATCCGGAGTCTCTATGAGTGTCCTAGACATTATTATTTTTCTCTTCAGACTTTTGAGAACATTCACACACCCCTTTTGTCACTCAAGTTCAAGATGAATGTTAAAATGAAATGGAAAAAGGCTGTGGAAGGGGGAAGGTGCCAGGACATGGCAATGGGCATTCATATTTAAGTCAATATCACTATTTGTCAAGCAAGATCTGTGTCAAGTTATCTGCATGAGTTCATTGTTTTCATGGGGACAGATACTAATATTTATATTGTAGATGTGCTAATCCCACCTCAGAGGTTTAGAATCACTTGTCCAAGTCTTCGCAGTTACTTGAGGCAGAGGCAGCATTTGAACCCAGAAATGGGGTTTCAGTCACCACTGTACACATCCTAACACATGGATAGAAGCTTGTACCCGAAACTGCAGTGGAGGGTTCCACGCCAAAGAAAACAGAAAGGAAATGCAGTTTGGGAGCCATATCTTTAGGATAATTATCCATTTATTCATGTCATAAATTTAGGAGCCCTCTTATGTTACATGCATTGCAACGTGCTAGAGTCTGGAGAACTGCCCCACACTCTGGACCCCACAGTGAGCGGGAGGTGGTCTAGGTTGCTGGAGGAAGGGTCGAGTAAGACACAGAGGGACATCAAAGGAGGTCGGGGTTTCAGTTCATGAATTGGATGATGGCTAAGAGAAGAGCTTTTGGTAACGAGAGTGCCAGAACAGGGCCAACTTCTCACTCTTTTTGTGCTTGTGTTTGGTAAATTCTAGGGCTCTGAGATACACCTAACCAGAGTTCAGTGGGAGCCTTGACCTTCACCTGGACGTACTCCAGGTGGGAAGCCAGAATACTTCTCCCAAGTCCTTCTGCAGGCACTGACGTAGAGGGTAAGGGTAATGTCTCAATCATGGTGTGATACTCTCAAGTCACTGCTCCGGGCACACACAGGCTCTGCTCATTTCCCATGCCCATGAGACACAACCAGCCACTCTCTCCTGCTACAGAATGGAAAGCCCTCCTGGCAGTGTTTTGTGCAATGGGGCTGATCTATAAATGTGATTTATAGAGTTAGTTCATTGACTGCCTCTAAGGCCAGCCCCAGCTGTCAGGAGTTTGACTGACAATTTCTGTTTATTTATTTCTCTCTCTATAATATCTGACTTCATATTATAAATTCTTTTGATTTGGAATTTCGTGGCATCTGCTCTGGTATTTATTGATGGTGTGCTCATCAGGGACTCTGTCTTTCTTGGGATGAGCTGGGCTGATTCTGACCATCGGGGTAAGGCTAGGGTCCTGACATCCCAAAGTGAGAGAACTTTACTGTTAATTTTTTTGTGCCCCAGACAGGCACCTGTGTATGTGTCAGCAATAGGGTCACCTATGACAGATGCCTCTTATGACTGAGAACCAGTGGAAATAAATGGAAAAGAGTAACTCAGAGACAAAGTGATGTTTGACTACTTGAGAGAAGTCTGATGGGGTAGGTTTCGGCATGCCAGATCCTGCTTGGATGATGGCTACTGCATCCTTTTCTTTGTTCCTCCTTTTCTAGTCCACAGGTATAAACAAAAGACCGCTAGTTCTCAACTCTTAGATGGGGCTTAGGTTTGTGTAGACAGAAGAAAGCCAGACTCACTCATCCTGAGCTGATGTTCTTGCCACATTTAACTTCCCATCATTCAAGCATAATTGGTGGAGTAGGGCTGAGAAGTCCTTCTGAAATGTTCAAGAAGCTTCTTGTACTAACTCGGGAGTGATCAAACGTTGGCCCAAAGATCAAGGGAGGGTTATGACGGTATTTTTTCTTACCCTGTAAATGTAGAGATTTCCATCCAGAAATAAACAACCAGTAAATTTCCTCGAGAAAAATGGTATTTAAAATAAAACAAAACATGGCTGCATCACGCTCATAAGAACTTTACATTTTTTCCTAGAGAAATGAGGCCACTTTTCATCAAGTTGTCTGTGTAGATGATACTGAGGGGAATTCCACAGATGGAGTATCCCTCAGTATCCCTCTGAATCTGACCTGACTACCCCAACTCTGGGAGTCTATCTGCAGGATGGACTGATATGGGCCCCCTATCCTGAGTTTTACCTGCTTTGACCCCTCATCTAGGTCCCAGAGAAGGAAGCTATCTTTCATTAATCATCTATTATGTATCAGGCACCACGATAAACCCTCACTGAACCATCATAAACACCCATGCTGTGAATTATATACTTTTATCTTCACATTTCCAGATGAGAAAACTGAGGTTTAGAGAAGCTGAATCTCAGAAAAATTAATTTCCTCACCAAAGGACATGACCAAGTAGGAGGTGAGG